ATAATGCATATTTCAGATTTCTGTGCCGTATCAAAATCATATATATACAAATATAAGAGTTTTAACAAGGCTCTGTAATATAAATATAAATTTAACGTATAAGACGGGCAACAAGAGCCAAATCGCGGATGACAATGCGTTATCCTAACGAAACTAAATAATTTTTCGTTAGAATTAAAATACCGGTGCACAAGGCACCAAATTTTTACTTGGACACGGCCAAGATTTTAAATATGAAATAATCTCATATTTTGAGATTTAATTTCAATACCCCTTTAACCCCCCTACGGAAAATAAATAAATGAATGCAAGAGAAAAATATAGATCCGAAAATCGCTGAATCGGGAATCGAACCCGAGACGGCGCGAAAGGTCTCGGGTTCGATTCCCGATTCAGCGATTTTCGGATCTATATTTTTCTCTTGCATTCATTTATTTATTTTCCGTAGGGGGGTTAAAGGGGTATTGAAATTAAATCTCAAAATATGAGATTATTTCATATTTAAAATCTTGGCCGTGTCCAAGTAAAAATTTGGTGCCTTGTGCACCGGTATTTAATTCTAACGAAAAATTATTTAGTTTCGTTAGGATAACGCATTGTCATCCGCGATTTGGCTCTTGTTGCCCGTCTTATACGTTAAATTTATATTTATATTACAGAGCCTTGTTAAAACTTTTATATTTGATACACGCTGGCTTAAAAAATGCGTTTGTTTACCAACATTAATATATATAACAGAGAAAAGTATAGAATCGAAAGGATCTGAATAGCTCAGCTGGAAGAGCAGTCGCCCGGCAAGCGAAAGGTCTCGGGTTCGATTCCCGATTCAGCGATTTTCGGATCTATATTTTTCTCTTGCATTCATTTATTTATTTTCCGTAGGGGGGTTAAAGGGGTATTGAAATTAAATCTCAAAATATGAGATTATTTCATATTTAAAATCTTGGCCGTGTCCAAGTAAAAATTTGGTGCCTTGTGCACCGGTATTTTAATTCTAACGAAAAATTATTTAGTTTCGTTAGGATAACGCATTGTCATCCGCGATTTGGCTCTTGTTGCCCGTCTTATACGTTAAATTTATAATCATATATATACATTTTCATCATCAATAAAATCACAATCTATAATAACAACATAATATATATTAATGTTATATAATTTCATACTTAACAAATGATTATAATTTATTTTGAAACAAAAATGTAATTCTGCTTTGATAATATATTGATTCTGTTTAAAATAAATCATCGTTGATTGAGAAATATTGACAAAAGTCATCTATTCTGTATGTCCCTTTATTTATATGTTGTTTTGTTATCATTACACAGCTATTACATGACACATAATCTGTGCAGTAATGCATAACAACATTGTTAAAAGTTACAGAATAGGCTCCTTAAATTCTATTCTTGCTTGATAAAAAATGTATTGTCATATAAATAAAATATTAATTTAGTTTATTGTTAGCACATAGACTCAAAATATAAAAGTCTAAAATACAAATGCATCATGAACACATTCTTATTTTCTATATTCTTTAGAATAAATATCTTTAAATATAAATTAAGATATTTTTTATTTTATAGAGTTTTAATTCTGGAGCGCAAGACCACCAGTCTGGGAGGACGATTGGAAGATTGCACTAGAGATCACTACTTAGAGACTGTTACAGAAAATAAAAAGGAAATATGCCTAAAATTTCTATTAAATATTATAGACGCGCAAAAACCTGTTCAGATAATTCAATAAATTTAATTAAATCTAATGATTTTGCTCAATATTTAAATAAAAATAATGATATTAATAAAAAATTAATTACAACACCATGCATCGATGGTCACATTGAATTGGATAATGATTTCAATATTGAGATTCATAACATAGATAATAATATAGATAGCAATATAGCAGATAACAATATAGATAATATAGATATCAATAGAGATAATGTATAATAGATGATATAGAAAATTTTGACTCAGATAATGATGAATCTGATAACAACAATGATTCAAGTAACGAAAATACTTTGAATAACGATGAATTAATAAGTAATTATAAAAATTTCAATTATACAGCTAATGAATCTTCGTTAGCATCTCAACTTGCTACTTGGGCTCTAAAAAATAAAATTACACATATTGCTTTGAATGAATTATTAGATATTTTAAAGTCTAAACATAATGATTTGCCTTCGGATGCTCGCGTATTAATGACAACTCCTAGGAAAAAAGCTTTAAAAATTGTTGAACCAGGACATTATTTTCATTTCGGTTTAAGTAGCTGCATTCAGAAACTTTTTTCTTTATAACTCTAAAAAATTTACAACAAGTAGAAGTTTATATAAATATTGATGGGTTACCTCTTTTTAAAAGTTCAAATCAACAGTTGTGGCCAATATTATGCAGTTTAGTTGAAAATCGTAGTAAAGTAGGTATTGTAGGCATATATCACGGAAAAACAAAACCAAATGATGCAAATGTATTTCTAAAAGATTTTATCAATGAAGCTATTGATTTATCAACGCATGGTGTTACAATAAATGAAACTAACTATCCCTTTAAAATTAAAAGTTTTATATGTGATACGCCTGCTAAGGCATTTATTGAATTTACTAAAGGTCATACTGGTTTTTATTCATGTTCAAAATGTCATATTGAGGGGGATTATATTAATGGTAGAGTTTGTTTTTCAAGTTTAAGAAAATTTCGCAATAGAACCGATTTTGAATTTAGATCAAAAGCTCAAGAAGAACATCATGTAAATTCAAAAACTTCAGATCTTGAATTAATTAAAAATTTAAATATGATTAGTGATTTCCCTGTAGAGCCAATGCATTTAATTGATCTGAGCGTTACAAGAACTTTAGTACATTTGTGGTGTTTTGGTAAACCACCAACAAAATGTTCTCAAACACAAATCTCACAAATTTTTTATTTATTAATAAAACAAGTTAAAAATATTCCATTAGAATTTAACCGTAAACCGAGATCATTACAAGAAAGTAGAAGGTGGAAGGCAACAGAATTTAGGCAATTTTTACTATACACAGGGCCTGTTGTTTTAAAATCTATTCTTAGTCATGACAATTATCTCAATTTTATGTGTTTGAATGTTGCTGTAACTATTTTATCATCTTCTCATATTAATAAATATTTAGATTACGCTGATTCTCTTCTTAATTATTTTGTAAAATCTTTTATTATTTTGTATGGTAAACACAATTGTATAATTAATATACATAATTTGTTACATGTATGTAATAATGTAAAAAAAATTCGGTCTTTTACAAAACTACAGTGCCTACCCCTTCGAAAATCATATGCAAAAAATAAAAGGATATGTTCGTAAAAAAGATAAACCGTTACAACAAATAATAAATCGTATACATGAAGAAAACTTCGCGGAATTAAACAAAGAAAATAAATTAAAAATTTCTTATCTTAATTTGTCGCAATAACATCGCGTTTGGCTCTTAGTCGAGATGAATATAGAGTTTAAAAAAAAAAAAAAATTGGAGAGCTGACTTACAAATATGCTTATTAATATTTGTTGCGTTTGGACCAGGTACGACGCCTTGGTGGGGGGGGGTAGGGGGTTATAAACATTGAGAGAAATATTGATTTGTAAGTGTCTGAATAGCTCAGTTGGAAGAGCAGTCGCCCGGCAAGCGGAAGGTCTCGGGTTCGATTCCCGATTCAGCCGACTTTCGGACCAATATTTTTTCTCGTCTTTTTCTTACAGGGGATGTTTAGAGAAGGAACAAGAGGAATTTCTGAGATCCCAACCATAGGATTCAAATTCCTCAGTTTCCAAAAAATTTCTTATCTTAATTTGTCGCAATAACATCGCGTTTGGCTCTTAGTCGAGATGAATATGGAGTTTAAAAAAAAAAAAAATTAAAAAAAAAAAAAAAAAATAAATTAAACATCAAACCCGAATTATTAAATAAACATAATAACGGACCTTTAGATCAAAATTTATATAGAAGTCAGTGGAAAAAAAATAGTGTTTTCTAATTTTACTTTAAAAATACAAGAACCAGATAATTGTTGTAGGTTAAACAATGGTGACATCATTTTAATTAAAAATATTGCCAGTATAGACAATGAAAATGCAGTAATAATAGGAAATAAATATGAATCAATAACAGATTTTTATAATGAACCATGTAAATCTTCTGATTTAGGTATACATTTAGTGGAAAATATTAGTAACAATTTCCAAAGGTGGAATATTAATGAAATATTGTATAAATATGTAAGATTACAATTTAAAGATAAATTTGTTGTTTTTCCTTCACTTCACTCTCTATGATTGAATTATAATTTAAATTTTACATATTCACAAATTTTTATTTACTATTATTTAAGTAATGTCGATTGAATTTTATATTTTATATTTAAGTAATGTCAATTTTATTTATTATATTTTATAATTAGAATTAAGAAATTAATAAAAATGTTAATATTAGAATATGAGTATAAAATAATAAAAATATATTAATTATTCTTTTGTGAAATAAATTTTATTGACGGTGTTGGAAACAAAATAATCCCGATTCGAACTTGGCGCGAAGCGCCCGATCAGAAGGAGAAAGCGCTCGTGATTTTCGAGGACCAAGAGCGCGCGCGTTATCCGGCAACGCGGAAGCGGCGATCGTACGTGCGAATCAGTCTCGTGGCAATGGTCCTGGCGAACGTTTCTGAAAGAAAAGATAGTCTCAGCGGAAGTGTTGGTCAAATCGAGAAGAGAGCGCAGAAACGCTGTACACTGTTAGCTGAATACATATATTTGTTTGTTCACTGAATCAAAAGTTTTTCGTGATTTCCTCCACGCAACCTCGCCCTAAGATAAAAATCCTTCAGGTTATGGGCCCAGACACGTGGCGTTGCGTGGCGTGAAAAAAAAAGTAAAGACACAGTAAAAAAGTGAAAAGTGAAGCCCGCGATAACCGACCGAAAAAATCGAGTGTGCCTAGAAGAAAGAAGACGGAGAGGATGTCGCCAAACACAGTCTTCGAGAACCTGGACAGCGTGGACAGATTAAAGAATGCGGAAGGCTACCCGCTGTGGAAATTCCAAGTAGGTATAATACTAAAAGCCAGTGACCTTTACGGCAATGTAATAACACTGCCTGCGGTCGAATTGCAAACCGAGCAGTGGAAGAAGAACGACGCAAAGGCGCAAAAAGTGATAGTCACGACGGTGGACAAGCAATCGCTGATACACATTATGAGTTGCGAGTCGAGCCACGATATGTGGGAAAAATTAAAGAGTATATACGAGAGAGACTCGGAGCAGAACAAATACGTGTTGATGCAAAAATTCTTTGAGACAAAGAAACCGAAACCCACCGACATGGCCACACACGTTGCCGAGTTGAAAAACATAGTTTTTAGACTGAAGGCGCTGGGAGTGAATATAACGGACGAGATGTTGATTTCTAAAATATTAACTACGCTGCCCGAGAAGTATAAATTTTTTGCAAGTGCGTGGGAATCCGTCAGTAAGCAGGAAAGGACGTTGCCGAATCTGACTGCGAGGCTCCTGGCAGAAGAAACAAGGAATAATGTGTAACGAAGCACCTTTCCGACGCCACGGATCGGCTCGTCGGTGCCAGGATTCGGGAAGAGGGGAGACTCAGATTTACAATGACACACGGTTGCTCTGGTAAAAGTAGAGTTTATTCGGGGCCACCTTCCTGTGGTTCTCCCGTGATTCAAACCATTATACACAGCACAGTATAATCGGACGAAACGCGACCAGATGATACAGACGCGTACACGACTTATTGCTAGGATTGACAGATAGAAATATTACGGACGAGACGCGACCAGATTATACGGACGCGGACACGACTTATTGCTAGGATTGACGGATAGAAATATTACGGACGAGACGCGACCAGATTATACGGACGCGGACACGACTTATTGCTAGGATTGACGGATAGAAATATTACGGACGAGACGCGACCAGATTATACGGACGCGGACACGACTTATTGCTAGAGTTTCCAACGCGGACACGCGTACGGGCGCCCTGAGAAGGGCGAGCTCCGTCGGGCGCCGGTGACTTTCAGGTAGGACCCGGTGACCGAGGACGCTCGGCCTGCACGACGAGAACGCTCGTCGGCCGGGGTGATTTACGGACAGGACCCGGTGACCGAGGACGCTCGGCCTGCACGACGAGAACGCTCGTCGGCCGGGGTGATTTACGGACAGGACCGGTGACCGAGGACGCTCGGCCTGCACGACGAGAACGCTCGTCGGCCGGGGTGATTTACGGACAGGACCCGGTGACCGAGAACGCTCGGCCTGCACGACGAGAACGCTCGTCGGCCGGGGTGAGTTACGGACAGGACCCGGTGACCGAGAACGCTCGGCCTGCACGACGAGAACGCTCGTCGGCCGGGGTGATTTACGGACAGGACCCGGTGACCGAGGACGCTCGGCCTGCACGACGAGAACGCTCGTCGGCCGGGGTGAGTTACGGACAGGACCCGGTGACCGAGAACGCTCGGCCTGCACGACGAGAACGCTCGTCGGCCGGGGTGATTTACGGACAGGACCCGGTGACCGAGGACGCTCGGCCTGCACGACGAGAACGCTCGTCGGCCGGGGTGAGTTACGGACAGGACCCGGTGACCGAGAACGCTCGGCCTGCACGACGAGAACGCTCGTCGGCCGGGGTGATTTACGGACAGGACCCGGTGACCGAGGACGCTCGGCCTGCACGACGAGAACGCTCGTCGGCCGGGGTGAGTTACGGACAGGACCCGGTGACCGAGAACGCTCGGCCTGCACGACGAGAACGCTCGTCGGCCGGGGTGATTTGGAGTGTGGGAGTTGAGGAGTGATCCCTGAGTACGCTCGAGGGACCAGGACGGGACTGGTGTCGAAGTCTCGGCTGCGCCGCTCTTTATACCCGTCGGCCACCCCACTCTAAGACTAGCTTGGAGGGGGTCGAGTGACGGGTGGGGGCGAAAAGGCGGATTCCCAACGTATTCGTGTGGTGGCCCCGAAAGGGGCCGTTTACACGAGCGCGGGCGACTAGTGACGGCTAATCGGGTCGTCACATCACCCTCCTTTTCTAGGGGGGGGTGGCTATTCGACGGATCGTTCGCGGTCTTCCTCGTCGGTCGAATCTGATGATCCACCGGCCCGTCGGGGTGCGTACCTTATACCGCCGTGAGATGGTGGCGGCGTGGTACGGTATGTCGACGGTTTGGCCATCCCCCAGAGTGACCTGGATGGGTCGTGGCGGTCCCGGGCGTGGTGCTGGCACTGGTGGGGCCTGGCCGGTTGGAGGTCGGCGTGGTGCCGGTTGGGGTGGCTCCCTGGCTGGTGGCGCGACAAGGGATCGCACCTGTTGGCCTGTGTTGGCGCGATGCGCTGGCTGGTCCGCTTCGTCAGGCGTCGCTGACTGGCGCGTGGTGGCTGGCGGTGCGACAGCGGATGGCGTGTGTCGGCGGGTGCCGGTTGAGGGAACCGATCGGTTCGCGGATGGTCGAGCGGGCTGGCGTGCGCTGGCCGGTGTCGTCGTGGGCCTGGTGACGCCGGCGACGGTGGAGGCCGGGGAGTCGGAGAGGACCGGTGGTCGTCGATGCCGGGTGTTCACCGGGATAGGTCGGCGTCTGCCCGGGGGAGGCGGAGGTGCCTCCAAGAGCACCAAGTTCCGACGTCGCTGCTCGGCGTCGGACCGCTGGATGCGGGTCCCTATTCCCGGTACTGGCCGGGTGGTTCGCCCGGAAACGGGCAGATTTCGTCCGGAAACGGACGGATTTTTTTTTGAGCGCTGGTTTGCTTCGTCGTTTGGTGTTTCCATCGTGACGGGATGAGTTCCGACCCAAGGGTGCCCGTTCTTTATACCCCTCGGTTCTGGACGCGGACCATGAGTGCCCTCCGGTGCGGGACGGGTGGAGCGCGGACCATGAAGAGTGCCGCTCTCGTTCGGGACCGGGTGCAAAGCGCGGATGAAGCGTTCGGCCAAAGATCGAAGACGCGGACCATGAGAGTGCCCCGGTGCGGGACCGGGTGGCAAAGCGCGGACCATGAAGAGTGCCGCTCTCGGTTCGGGACCGGGTGGCAAAGCGCGGACCATGAAGAATGTCGTTCCCGGTATTCGGCCAAAGATTTTCGACAAGACGCGGACCATGAAGAGTGCCGCTCCACGTATTTTGATTCGAAACCGCGAACATGCCTAACGGTTGACCGGCGGCGTTAATCGGCGCGCGTTGCTCGGGTATCGGACTAGGGTTCGGTCGCAGGACGCGGTTCGGAGGCGGATTTCAAGTCCCTCACGTGGACGTGCCGATGCCATCGACCTCGGTCGTCCTTCAGGTCCACGATGACGGGGGAGATGATGCGTCTGATCGTCAACGGGCCACCAAATCTTGGTGCTAGTTTGGCATTAAAGCCGCGCTCTTTGTTCGATAACGGGTGCTCCTTTTTCCATACTCGGTCTCCAACTTGTGGACGCCAGTCGCGTCGACGTAAATCGTAGTTTCGCTGTTGATGTTGGAAGGCGCGGGCCAGGTTGATTCTGACAATTTCGTAGGCGTCTTCGAGTCGACGTCGAACTGTTTCAGGAGCGTTGCTGGTCGTTGCCGGGCGGCGGTCGTCGGGATGCGGTGATTGTAACTCCCGGCCGTACATCAGAAAGGCCGGGGTGTATCCCGTGGATTCTTGTCGTGCGGTATTGAAAGCGAACTGGAGCTGGGGAATGTGTTCATCCCAACGGCGATGTCGGCCTTCCACATATTGCGCCACCATGGTCTTTATGGTGCGGTTGGCTCGCTCGACCGGGTTGCACTGCGGTGCGTAGGCGGGGGCGGTTCTATGCTTGATCCCGAAGGATCGTAGTAATCCCTCGAGCTGGTGCGATCTCAACTGAGTCCCGTTATCAGAGACGATGGTGTCCGGGCAGCCGTGACGATATATAATACGTCCAGCTACTTCTCGTGTGACGTTGGCGGCGGTGGCTTGGCGGAGCGGCGTCATCTCTATCCATTTGGAGAATCGATCCTGCATGGTCAGCAGCCAGGTATGGCCACTGGTCGATCGTGGCAATGGTCCGACCAGATCAATGGAGACCTGTTGCCACGGGTGCGTGACGTTGGTGGCTCGAAGTTTCCCGGCCGGCAAGGTTTGTGCGGCCTTGTGGGTGGCGCAGTTTCGGCAGTCACGGACGTATCGAGTGACGTCGCGGAACATTCCTGGCCAATAATATAAGCGCGCTACTCGTGCGATGGTCTTCGCAATGCCAAAGTGTCCGGCGGTCGGGTCGTCATGCAGTCGGTGCAGTATTTCCGCGCGCTGGGGTTTCGGGACGCACTGTTTCCATTGCTCCTCGCTTGGCGAGTCGTGGAAGTTGAGATCATGCAGGATGTGTCGATGCAACTGTCGGTTCTGGATGCGGTAGTCCGCATGTTCGGCCGGGTGTTGTTGTACCTGGTGATAAAGGCGGCGGTACCATTGACAGTCTGGAGCGGCTTGTATGACACAGGCCTCGGGTTGACGAGAGAGAGCGTCGGCCACGATGTTCAGTTTTCCTTTACGATACCGGATGTCATAGTCGTACTGCTGAAGCTCGAATACCCATCTCCCTAGGCGACCGGTGGGAGCTTCCAGTCTCTGCAGCCATCGAAGCGACTGGTGATCGGTGACAACCGTGAAGTGATAACCCTCCAGATAGTCGCGCATTCGACGGATTCCCCACACTACCGCCAGACATTCTAGCTCTGTAGCGCTGTAGTTCCTTTCTGCGCTATTTAGTGTACGGCTGGCGTAGGCAATGACGCGTTCGCCTTCGGATAGTTCTTGGGTGAGCACGGCACCTAGCCCACACGTGCTGGCGTCGGTCTGGAGGGTGAATGGTCGGCTGAAATCGGGACAAGCAAGAACTGGTGCGGTGGTGAGCGCCCGCTTCAGCTCGTCGAAAGCCTTTTCTTCTTCTGGTCCCCACGCAAAACGTGCTCTTTTTTGGGTCAAGCGTGTCAACGGTGCGGCGGTGGTGGAGAAGTCTGGTACAAAACGGCGGTACCAGGAGGCGACGCCGAGGAATTGGCGCACTTGACGTACGGTTGTCGGGGTCGTCCACGCGGCTACCGCGCTGACCTTGTCTGGGTCAGTTCGAATGCCGTCTTTGTCCACTATATGCCCCAAATATTTGAGACGGCTGCAACAGAAGTGGCACTTCTGTGGGTTAAGGCGGAGGCGCGCTTGTCTCAACCGTCTGAAGACCTCGGCCAAATGTTCCATATGGGTCTCCAGTGACGAGCTGACTACGATGATGTCGTCGAGGTAGACCAATACGTGTGGCTCGAGTTCCGGGCCGAGGACACTATCCAGCAACCGCTGGAACGTGGCCGGTGCCGAATGTAACCCAAAAGGCATGACTTTAAATTGGTAGAGTCCTCGCCCAGGAATTGTAAAGGCGGTGGCTGGACGGCTGACCGGATCTAGTGGCACCTGCCAATATCCGTCCTTTAAGTCTAGTGTTGAAAGGTACTGGGCCCCTCGGAGCTTATCGAGGGTAGCGAGGATGTGCGGCAGTGGGTAGGCATCTTTGTCGGA